AGCCATCCACACACAACATTTAGTTAATCTTTCTAACTACAATTTTTCATCTGACGAGAACTCATCTCCACACATGGCAGCGCTGAAAACCAGCAGTGAACATTTAAAAGGTAGATAAATCTCCATGTTGATTACATTAGAGACTCGATTTGTAAAACACAACAGCGGTCAAATTTTTAGGCAAGGCACCTTATTTAAGATTAACAGGAAATAAGGTACATTAACTCTTTGGTAAGACCAGCGCCCCACACTTCAGGCCATATAATTCTGTCCTTTGATAGAGAAGCCTACTGGGACATACTATGCAACGTAATGCAGTGAAACTATGTTTTTGCTACCCTTTGATGCTCACTTTCCTCCATGGGCTAGCAATTATTGAGGTTGGGACTTCAGTCAGTGGCAAGTGGCATTTGCATCTCATTTTTCCACCAAAGAATTAGGGCAGTAGACTTATAGCTATTTCCATGTTATCCTCACAACCTATCCTACAAGGTAGACCTGAAGTTACTCAATGAATTTCACAGCTAAGCAGTGCTTCAAACCAAGATACTCCTAGTTCATGCAAATATTCTGTGTCTCAATGAATTAATATGGCAGAACACAAGATCATTTACCAACAGGATGTCATACATGGCCTCTTTACAGACCAGCCTGCAAGGCTCCAAATTACTAAAAAGCTGTTTTATTTTTATTTTTTTAAATATGACATGGGTGCTACAGACAGCTGACCCTTTATTGTCCTTGCTCTAGTGACTTTTAACAGTTGGTCTTGCATACAGAAAATCAGCAAGTCAATTTTTCCCATCAATTTTACTGCTGGCTGCAAAAAAACTCCACCTGTCATATTTCTGGCCAATCTAAAAGGCACAGGAGCAGGGTCCAGAAGCGTGTCTCAGCTTCTTGCCAGAAAGCAAAACGCTGAACATTAATGCAGGAGATTCTCTTTTGCTATAATAAACAAAACAGGTCTGGCTGAACACATGTTTAAGATACTTTGTATGAAAACAACAAAGTAAATGTAGAAAAGAAAATTTGTTCATTCAAACATACCGTGATGGACTGCACTTTTTAAAAGCTGCAAAGTACTGTACAGAGTAAAGGATTGTGACGGGTATAATTTTTCACAGAAACAGAGAGCCTTGAGTGACAGGCTGCACCAAGCAATCTGATTGGTTAGCCGCAGCTGAGCAGAGAGAGCTGCATGCTGAGGAGAAAGTCTGCCTTGACTAAGTTGAGTCTGATTTCAGCCTTAGCTGAGAGCAGTTTAATACAAACAGGAGAACAGAGGAAAGTTGACAAGGACGATAGTTAGACAAAGACCCCCATTCAGGTCAAAGAAAGGGGATACATCCATATATATCCATATGTGAGGGGAGAATTTCCCTACGCAAACAGGGAGTTAGCTCTGAAGACTGGAGAGATACCTGGTCTGGTGTGGTTAGAAACTGCCTTTGGAGACCTTAGGAGTCAGTTAAAAACTCAAGATGAGTACTGGTGCTTCATGAGAAGGAGTCTGGGTACTGGAAAGACTGTATCAGCCTTCTGGAAACCAAAAGAGCCAGAGAATACTCAAGAAAGTGTACTGAAGTGTTTGGGAAAACAGTGGAACAAAAGCCTCTCAGCATAAAGATCTTAAGTAACAGTGAATAGCTTAAGAAACTCTCATTAGCCTGAAACATAGGACCCAAAGTCTGTGCACGTACTGGTTTTATCTCAGAAATTTCAACCTCTGATTTCACCTGACCGTTCCCCTCTATGTTAAATAAAATATTTTGTTATTTTTGAATTTCAAAACTCCTTGAGTTCCATTTAAGCTGTTTACATTAAAGGGGGCTCCCAATCATTCCCTCAGGTTCCTGGACTAAGCCAACAGCCAAAATATCTTATGGTGACAGGGTGGGACAGCCAGAGTTCTTCAGCAAAGAAGAAAACACCTTACTGTAGGGAGGATTAACGATATGGCACACCAATCTTGATCCTATTACATCCTGCCTCTGTTAACGTAAGGTAGATCAGTGACTTTGGATCACTAATCCTGACCTTTGCCCATCTTGCCACTGCAGGCATCTTAGGCGCCAGGAGTAGCTTGTTATCACTGGTAATTATGCTATGCAAGCATTCCAGAGCATCTGGTTTCCCTTGCTTCACGCACTGTAAACCACAGCCTCATCTTACGTTGAGAGCAGCGTGTATAAAATAAACTCCCGCCGCCTCAAAGGGCAGACCGGTGCTTCTACCCTCAAAGATCATGTCTCGTGCAATGTTCCCTCTAAGCTGTGGAGTCTTGTGAGCAAAAATTCCACTTTGTGAGCTGCTGGCATTAAAGTTGTGAGCGAGCAATTTGGCTACTGCATAAATTAGTTTGCTCTGGAGCCCTCCTTCCTGAGCTAAGACAAAAATGTGTGAGCCGGAGGCTACAAAACTGTGAGCTAGCTCACACGAACTCAGCTTAGAGGGAACACTGGTCTCGTGTGAGTCCTTCACCTTACTAGGCCAGCTCAGTTAGTAAAGGGAAACGGAAACAGTGGGAAAATCTCGCCTCTGAGGGAAGGAAGTGGAGGGGGGGGGAATCATACATACATAGGGAGAACTCTTAATTAATTAGTTCATCCTGTGAAATCTAATGGGACATATGTGCAATACTGTCCTTTTTAAAAAGGAAGCAAAAACGTATTGTATAAGCTATGGTGGTGACAGGGATGGGATCAGGTGGTAAACGGAAGCCACATTCTCACACCTGCATGACTGAGAGACACAGTGTTGTGTAGCAGTTAGAATGTCATTGGCTGAGCAATCTAAGGGGAGGTGCTCTCTCAAAGCCTAACCTACCCCACAGGGTTGGTTGTGAGGATACAGTGGGAGGAGGGAGCGATACCACCTGGGCTCCTTGGAAGAAGGGCGGGATACAAATGTACTAAAATCAATACAAGATGAATCGCATGAAATAAAACAGAAAGGAAGAGTTAAGGCCAGACTGGATGAGATGCTGGAAGTAATGCACCTGAACTTCCTTAATGTAGCTGTTGTTGTGAGGCTCCCAATCTGAATCACAGGCATGGCACAGGGGAGTTATTTTAACTCTTCATACGACATGCCATTTTCAGTCCAAAACACTGGCGATCCTGTCATAGACTTCATAGTGTTTCATCTACTTTGGCTGTAAGGTACAAGACCTGTCCTTTCTTCATATATTCCTCTTAGCAAACATTAGTAAAGACAAGTGGAGACCCGCAAGAAACCTGCGGGATGGTTATCTCATTCGTCACACCTTTGCTTCCTCTCCTCACCCCCTACCTCTCTCACACTATTTCTTCCCTCTGCCCCCCTTTTCTTACTCTGTATTTCTCCTCCATGCATGTGACTTCCTCTCTCTTTCTGACCTGTCATCTTTCTCTTTGTTTTTCTGCCTCCCCACTTCATCACTCTTTCTCTCTCTTTCTGCCCACACCCTATCATTCTTTCTTTCTACCCCCATCACTCTCCCAGCCTCCTGCCTGCTTCCTCCCCCACTCCGCAGAGCAGCAGCAGTGGCAGTGGTCTGGGAATCACAACGGATCTCCCAGCTACAGAGATCAATTCACTCTAAGGCTGCCAGCTCCAGGTTGGGAAATTCCTGGAGTTTTGGGGGTGGAGCCTTGGGACAGTGAGGCTTGGGGTGGCAAGCAGCCTCAGCAGGGTATGATGCCATAGACTCAACCCTCCAAAACAGCCATTTTATCCAGGGGAACTGTTCTCTGTTGCCTGGACAACAGTTATAATTCTGGGTGATCTCCAGTCCTCACTTGGAGGCTGGCAATGGTCGTTCTCGTAGAGGAAATGGCTGGAGGGTGGAGTCTATGACATTACACCAGTTCAAAGTTCCTCCCCTCCTCAAATCCCACCCTCTACAGGCTCTACCCCTCAAATGTCCAGGAATTTCCCAGCCTGGAGTTGGCAACCCTATTTCCTTTCCACCCAACAGCCAACCTACCTTTATCTGCCTCCCTGTCTTCCGCTTTCCATCTCCACCCCCCAGCCTCTACCTAGGAAAATTACAGTCTTTCTCCACAGTGGGGACAAAAGCAGCTTTCATTATTCCCTCCTCCATTTTATCTGCACAATAACCCTGTAAGGTTGGTTAGGCTGAAATATGTGACTGGTCCAAAATCACGCAGTCAGCTTCCACTGCAAGATGGGGATCTGAACCTGGGTCTTGCAGACCCTACTTTGAAGCTCTAACTGCTGCACCTCACTGGCTTTCACAGGGTGGCTGCTGATGAACGATAGCAAGCAGCCGAGGCTAGGTGAGTCATGCAAATCAGGGGTGACCTGGCAACCCTAGTCTACTGCCAGACCTAGATTTCCCAACCTCCAAATGGGACCTGGAGACCCCCCCCAGAATTACAACTGGATTCTAGACAGCAGAGGTCTGTCTCCCTGCAGAAAATGGCTGCTTTGGAGGGTGGACTCTGTGGCATTATACCCAGCCCAGGCCTACAAGGCTCCCTCCCTCCCTCCCTGAAAGGCCAAAAGAGGCCTGGAAAGGGCCCTTCCTCCACCCTTTTACTGACAGAGCCAGTTAGAAGCCCCCGAACATTCTAATCTCTTACCGTTGATGCCTGAAGCAGATCCCTGCAGAGGCATTTTCAAAAGGTTTTTGGGGGAATTCAGCCGTCCCTGAAGGGATTTTTTTTAGTTTTTGGATTTTTCTACAAACCCAGGAAGTCTACTGACTATGTAGGAAAAGCTGTTGGGGGAGAGTGAGCCCCCTGTTGGTGGAAATAAGTATCCGCACAGGAAAAAAAACTCTGGCTAATAGTATAAGGATGGTGGAGGAGGGATGGATGGAAATATCAAAGGTCATGAAACTATGGCAAATCAATATGTATGCACATAAAAAATGACAAGGTTTTAAACACACAGAGAGGCACCTCACCTGATTCTTAATCCAATTGACAGAAACATTTAAATTGAGATTGTTAATGAAAATTCTGACCAGAAGAGCATTAAAGTAGACTTACATGAAATGGAGACCCATTTTTTCCTCCCACGACTAGACAAGGATATCTTCCATCACTGTCTTCTTTTGGAACATACTTTAAAACATGGCAGTCTTTAACCTTTAAAAGATTAGTCAAGATGGTAAACAACACCTCAACACTCAGATTGATTAATCAAACAGCCAACTATTACTAAATGCCACTGAATAATGTGACTTCATACTGTATGCGCTGCACCTTTCAATGACTTGGGTGCTTTACACCCAAGATGAATCCCAATACATTCATGGTATGCGGACAATAAACCTTATGTTATTGCTGATTCTCCAGATTCAGTGCAGCCTATGATCTGTTAACAAACCAGAAGAAGGCTTTGACAACTTTGTAAGGGATTTCCTGATTGGTTCAAGGCTCTGTGGACTGGCCCTTATAAAAAGCAATAGGTCTGACAAACAGAGAAATGCCATGAAGTGACTGGACAGAAAAGCTTCTATAAAATAGAAGAGAACCTTTTCTCAGGCTGTTGTGCGCTACAGAATGAGTAATGCAGGTATATGTTGACAGGCAAACTAGTAATCATTTTTGATTAATTCTTTAATTCACAGCCTTATATAGCCTGGGACCAACATATCTAAGGGACCGCCTCTTCCCGCATATGCCTCGAAGAGCTTTACGCTCTAGTAATCAACATCTCCTGGTGGTCCCTGGCCCAAAAGATGTCTGTCTAGCCTTGACCAGGGCCAGGGCCTTTTCTGCCCTGGCCCCCACCTGGTGGAGCATGCTCCCCATCGAGATCAGGGCCCTGCGGAATCTTACTCAGTTCTGCAGGGCCTGCAAGATGGAGCTGTTCCGTCAGGCTTTTGGGTGAGGCAGCGGGCCTCCCCGAGGCCTCCCCGAGGTTGCTGTCTCCTACCTACTGGCCACCTATCTACCAGCAACCGGCCATATCCATCAGTATGTTGTTGTTGAGTCCGACTCTTCGCGACCCCATGGACAAGATCTTGCCAGGCCCTCCTGTTTTCCGCCATCCTCTGAAGTTTGCTCAATTTCATGTTCATTGCATCGATGACACTGTCTAACCATCTCATCCTTTGCTGTCCCCGTCTTCTTTGACCTTCAATCTTTCCCAGCATGAGGGTCTTCTCCAGTGAGTGCTCCCTTCTCATTTGGTGGCCAAAGTATTTGAGCTTCAGTTTCATTATCTGGCCTTCCAGGGAACAGTCAGGGTTGATTTCTTTTAGGATTGACTGATTTGATCTCCTTGCAGTCCAAAGGACTCTCAAGTCTTCTCCAGCACCATAGTTCAAAAGAATCTATTCTTCGGCACTCGGCCTTCCTTATAGTCCAACTCTCGCAGCCATACATGACTACTGGGAATACCATTGCTTTGAACGGGTCGGAATTTTCACCAGTAGCTATAACTACTGATTTTAAAGGTTTATAATGTAAATGTTTTATTGTGTTTTAAACCTTACTGTATTATTTAAGATGATGTGACCTGCCCTGAGCCTGCTCATGGGATGGGTGGGATACAAATACGAAAAATAAATAATAAATTTTGTGTGCTGGTAACAGTTATGTACGTATTTATTATATGTATCTGATGAAGTCAGCTCAAGGTGCCAGTAGACACCCATTTTATTTTACTGTGCAGAACTGAGATGCTGTAGTAGCAACAGCACAAGAGGTACAGCGAAAGCTATAGCAAACCCAATACTCTTTTTAATTGGATACTAGAATCCAGAATAATGTTCCATGCCTTCAAATAATCACACAACTGTCCCGGATTATTTTGTCTTGATTCTTTTCTTAAAAGACAGACATATCCAGGATGGCACCCAGAAGGCAAGTTACTTGTGCTTCTCTTCAGTAAAACAAGAACAAAACTTAGCGCAAGGTCTTGAGTCAATGTGGTTGGTGCCAATAAAAGGTAATATACAGATTTCTTTCTTTGTTTTCGGACTGTACAATTTTTTTTCATTAAAATGTGTTATTTTTAAAAACTTCATATTTTACCTGAAGTAACGTGACAGGAAGTCTTTCACCATTCTTGGTCCATAAGGGTATCATTCCCAACTTCACTGCGACCACGCCAACTCTTTTGGACCCTGCAGGGAAAAGTGAAAGAAAGATACTGTGGCTGGAACTTAACCTGAAAGCAGCTGACATATTCATCCCTGGTAATTTACATTCTCAGACTGTAGCATTATGGATAACTGCTTAAAAACCAACGAGCTCAATCTAACCCACTATAGCTTCAGTGAATGGGCATGAAGGAAGCCTCAAATAACTGAGCACTGGCCATTCCCCCAGCCCCGTGGTGTGTGAACACACCTCTCCAGACCATTATAGAGAATGGTCTCTACTCTCTTTCCCATACTGACAGCCATCTAGTTCCCTTAAAATTTAGATCAAGTAGACACTACTTGAATTCCCCAAATATTTCCCTCCTTAGGGTTTTCTTATAATTTTAATTTTGCAGTCCCAGAACAGGTGAAATTTTTAAACGTGTTTTCTGAGGTCTGAAATTGTAAATTGTTTTCTAAAGAAAGTGGTTTATAAATTGATATACTGTAATTATTTTGTAGGCTAAGTGACTTCTGTGAACTTACCTGCAAAACACATAAAGCAACTGCAACACAAAGGAAAAGATGTATGAAAAAACACTTCTGATTTTTTAAAAGGACAGCATAGGTGAATCATGAGGATCTTGCAGAATAATGCAAGAGTTCAAAGGGATTTTTTAAAAGGATGTTAATGAAAGCTTTGCAGACGGCTGTCAACTTTCATTAACTACTATCCTGTGGCAAAAAGCTTGCCTCTGCTCATGTTATATACAGACCTGGTTTCCATTCGTGCAAAGGCCAGGGCTCATCTTTCAGTGGACACATTTTACTAGCTATTTGAGCGTTGAATTCTTCGGTTGTTATCTTCTTCAGGAACTCAGCATTCTCTTTTGAGAGGTGCTCATCCCACCATGTGGCATTGTTACTAGTATTCCTGGCTATCACACACCAAAGACCCCTTCCAAAGAGAATACAAAAACGTTTCAGAAAATGAGACACAGTGTAGCATCCCCACCATCACCTAGCATTCACTTCTGTTATCCTGAATATTATGTTTAAAATACCATCCTCATTAATAATAAAAGTTTTAATGACTGTTCATAACTTCCACCAACCAAAGGCCCCTTCAAATTAGTTCCTGCATGCTACCAACAAACCTAAATGGGGAAAACAGAGCTCTGATAACTACTGTTATCAGTAGGGGATTCTTCCCTTACTGCTGATTATCAAAGCATTGCTCAACTGACAGCCTTCAATGGAACACTATCAATGACATGACAGGAGCTCACTGAGATGCCGTGACATATAGGAGTACCTCCACCTCCAGACCATTATGCTGCAGCACATCGCAAACCATCAAGGGTAAGGTGGCAAAGGTGGAATGTGACATACCTGCACATCTTCACAGTATTCTTTGTTAAGTTTTCTCAAACCATGAATCAATTGAGGATTATGAAGAAAAGTTTTCAAGGCCCTAACTGCTCCAGGACTAGTTACTGCTGACTGAGAGTGAGTAGAGGTATGCACGATCTCCCAGGAGGGAGAAATGAGGGCTACTTGTGCTGGTGTGTTCTATGTATATGTGTACGTCCACGGACATACCTTGGCTGGTGCTAAGACAGAGAAACTGTCAAACTAGGCTCCAGTTGTCTATAGAACTGCTTGGACTCCAACTTCCATACTGGAAGGAAGGCCAGCACAGCCTGAGAACCTTATGGTGGAGTGCTGCCCTAAGGGGCTGCATATAAGAAGATTGTCATAAGAGGTGCCCTGAGGGATCAGCTCAGTGGGCCACTGAGTCCATTATCCTGTTTCCTGGTAATTGCTTGAGATTGCCTCAAATGTACAGATATCTTTAAAAGCACTGTCTGTTACACTTGTGTGCAATCTTTGGGGAGGGGCAGCACCTCAGCAGTAGAGCATGGGTTTGGCATACAGAAGGTCCCAGGTACAATCCCTGACACCTCCTATTGAAAGAATCAGATAGTAAGGTCCTGTGTGCGAGCCCTGCCTAAGACTCCGGTAGTCAGCCACTGCCAGTCTGAGTGAGTAACGCCGACCCGAATGGTCTGATAATGTATAAGGCAGCTTCGTGTGCGTCCATGCTGTTTTTCTCCCAGCACTTTAAGATTTAATCTTTTCGTTTTCCGTGGCACATCTTCCTTGCATTTTCCTTTTCGCTTTCTGATATGGGCATGAGCTGCGGGTAGAGAACACATATCAGAAAGCGAAAAGGAAAATGCAAGGAAGATGTGCCACGGAAAACGAAAAGATTAAATCTTAAAGTGCTGGGAGAAAAACAGCATGGACACACAGTCAAAGGCTGATAAACTGCCATTGTTCGAAGGCAATGGGGAAGGGGCAACCCAGGGAACAGTACGCCCGGCCTTGGCCCGGTTCCAGCAGCCTCCACGAACCCCCGATTCAATACAGTCAGTGACAACGTTCAACAAATAAAGCTTCCCCCTGGAACGCTAGTGTTGGGTGGGGGGAATCGCCCCTGTTGGGTTGCGGCATTTCCCGCCGCTGCTGAGTGAACCCGAGCGGCGGCTGGAGGGGAAGGCTGCGTTAACCGTCACGGTCGCGGAGGAACTGCTTGCGCGCGCACCCACCTATTCCCAATTCCGGTCTCGGTTGCCGCGAGGACCGAGCCGTGACGTCCTCTAGACAGCAGCCGCGAACCCAGCCGGCACAGAAGACCCACGCCCGGCATGACCCCTTCGAAAGCGTCCCTCGGCCGACTCCGAGCTCAGCACGACCGAAAGCCGAGACAGCTAGGAAAACCTTCCCTCGCCGCTCGCGTAAGTAAGTTCCGGGCAACTTTGGTTCCTACAAGGCTCATTGGCCATGTCTTTGTCTTGCGGGACAACGAAAGGACACAGAACCGGAGGCCTGTTTCCCCGCATCTGTTCCCTCCTGTTCACGTGCCCCGAAAGCTACGGGCGAGCAAAGGGGGCGGCACGTCCCGAGTTATGATGAAGAGGTCGAGCTACAGTGTGGGACAGGGCAACTTCGGTCTCGGCGGCCGGCGCTCCTGTAGCGGGACGAGGAGAGCGGCCTCTACTGATGAGAAGTCGTCCTTGCAGTAAGCGCTGTTGGCACTGCTCTTGTGTGACTGAGCACAACTGAACGGGGGCAAGAGTCAGAAAATGAAACCCCACTCGTCTCATAAGTGCGATATCCAGGGCCCTTTTTGTAGAAAACGCCCAGCAGGAACTCATTAGCATAACAGGCCACACCCAACAGCAGAAACTCATCAGCATATTAGGCTACAACCCTGACAGCACCGCTCATTAGCACATTAGGCCGCACCCCCATGTTACCAGAAGTGTGGTCATCCAGCCACACCCACCTTTTGCTTGTTATTCTGTTTACCTTGTTTGTTGTCAAAACCCAGGGCTTTTTTGTAGAAGGAACTCCTTTGCATGTTAGGCCACACACCCCTAATGTAACCAATCCGAATGAGTTTCTGCTGTTGGGTGTGGCCTATTATGCTAATGAGTTCCTGCTGGGCATGGCCAGCTTGGGAGCCAGCTGGAACTCTATTCCTGTGCATTCTTGCCCAAAAATAGCCCTGGAGATATCTAAAGGCAAATAGAAAAGTGCCTCCTCTAAAGTTGCTCTGATGGATGGCCTAGGAACTGCAGACCTGGTTTCCCCACTACTTGAGGCTCCATGAGTGACTTGAGCCAGTCATGCTCTCTTGTCCCAATCCACTTCCCCATAGGGTTGCCAGCTCTGGGTTGGGAGAGTACTGGAGATTTTGGGGTGGAGCCAAGGGGAGGGGGGAGACCTCAGCAGGTAGTGCCACAGAGTCCACCCTCCAAAGCTACCATTTTCTCCAGAGGAACTGATCTCTGTAGTTGTAATTATGAAAGATCTCCAGGCCCCACCCTAATAGTCCTATAATCTCATGCGTCATGAAAGAAACATTTCTACTTTCTTTCCAAAATGATATAAATAGACCGTATCACAGGAATGAGCTAGTAGCCTGGACTGGATCCCACAGCTCTGGACTCCCAGGCCCATGTTGTGTTCTTGCTGGGGGGGGGATTTGTGGGGCATTCCAGGGGGTGGGCGGGGATGTCGTGTGATGTCCCTGGGACGCTGATGTCATGCAGAAGTAACATCATCACGTCAGGGACATTGCACGGCAACGCTCTGCATTTTGGACGAAACTCTATGGGGTTTTTTGACTTAAAACCATAAGTTTTGCCCAAAAAGCAGAGTGTCGCTGTGCAACATCCTGACGTGATGACATCAGTTCTGTGTGATGTCATAATGTGGAGGAATGTTGCTGCATGACATCCCTGTTTGGGGGTGCGGCTTCCCCACTGGCCAACTGGCTGGCGGTGGGCAGAAGTCCCCAAAATTGGGGAACCCCTGCCCAGACTGGGGTTCTGCCAACCCTGTTCTCACCCCTATCCAGAGCCAGCGTAGTGAGGTTAAAAACCTCAGCAGAACCATAATAAATTTCATTCAGAGGCCTTCTGGAATAAAAAATATCTTTGAAACTAGTCCTTTAAAACAACATTCAAGTAAATAAGTACTTATTGAGGAAATGGTTGCTACAGTGAATGGAGAAAAACTGGACTACACCCAGCAATGTGCCAGCAGAACAAAAAGGGAAAATGCCAGGTGATAGGTGACTGGCAAAGGCCCTACGAGTTTCCAACGTGCAGGCTTCGTCAGGGGGATCTATAAAAACATAATTTTGCATTAAATACAAATAATAGAAGGAAACAGGATAAAACTTATTACAAAGTATTAAAACAGTATTAATTAAGAAGATCTTGTCTCTTCAAAGTATTTTCTATATTTTCTATAGTTCTATATATTTTCTATATTTTCAAAGCATTTGCTATAACCGACAGTGCTTCTTGTTGTGGAATGTTTGTATATAAGGAGACCACATCTAAAGTTACTAGAGCATTGGCATCAACATATTCCAGATGGACCAATTTGTTAATAAAATCAGTGGTGTCCTTAATATATGATGGTAACACTGGTAATATTGGTACAAAGGGTCTAAGAAAATATCCTACAAACTTGGAGATTGGCTACAGAACTGAATTGTAACCTGAGACTATAGGTCCTCCAGGAGGGGGAAATTTATTTGTATGGATTTTTGGCAGAGTATAAAACATGTTGTTGTTGTTCAGTCGCACAGTTGAGTCCGACTCTTCGCGACCCCATGGACCAGATCACGCCAGGCCTTCCTGTCAGATGGACCAATTTGTTAATAAAATCGTTGCATCTATGACACTGTCTAACCATCTCATCCTTTGCCGTCCCCGTCTTCTTTGACCTTCAATCTTTCCCAGCATGAGGGTCTTCTCCAGTGAGTGCTCCCTTCTCATTTGGTGGCCAAAGTATTTGAGCTTCAGTTTCATTATCTGGCCTTCCAGGGAACAGTCAGGGTTGATTTCTATATCTAAAAAAGTTCATACTCTTGTTGAAATATAACCCGCACTCATGCTCTCCTCAAGCAATGTTTTAATCTCCTTTTGAGTGTTTTTTGGTGAGTCATGTCCACATGGAATATAATGAGTGAGTCTGATCACTCAATTGTCTAAATTCTTCTGCTTCATATTCCTTCCTATTTTGTATCACTATAGCTCCTCCCTTATCAGCTTCCTTGCTTAAGATGGTCTGGTCCTCTGCCAACTATCTCCTTTGAAATAACATCCAATTTAAAAGACAAATTGGTTCACAGCAATACCTTTGTTCCCATGAACCTACACCGAACTATTCCAGGAGCAGGTTTACCCAAAGGCCATTTTAGATGTGGACATTGCAAATGTTGCACCCTAAGTTAAAATATGAAAAGTTTCATTAATCCCTTTGATAAAAAGAATATGTTTTAAACAACTATACAACATGCAATTCAAATATGGTTATATATGCCATCAGATGTTCTTGTAACAAGATATATGTAAAGAGGACCTTAAGAAAATTAAACACTCAGATAACTGAACATAGGAGCAACATACTTTGTAGAACAGTTGGTACCCTCTTGGTACAGCCTTTCATGGAAAAAGAACATGAAACCACTGAGTTCATTTTGGAGGGAGTCATTTGGGGTGGTACCATCACAATGAAAAAGTCCAGTTAAAATGGCGATTGAGTGGAGATTAAGGTTACAGATTTTGGCCCCTCATGGGTTAAATTTTGATCTGGGACTTCTGACCTTGCTCAGCTAATCTCTGTATCAAAAAAATATGCTGGGTCATTCTCCACTAGTGAAAGAATTTAATCGCTGTCGACAGGTCCAGCACTAGATGAAGTCTCTGGTCAGTATTTGCTTCATATTATATACTTTTACTGTCTTGCTTCAAGCCCAGTATATAATTTATTCATCTTATTCTGTATTTTGACAAATATGTATCTATTTATGAAATTAATTTTAATCCTGGCCTTTAAATTAATACTATTTTCAATACTTTGTAATAACTTTTATCACAGGGTCCATCTATTATTGGTATGTAATGCAAAATAATGTTTTTATAGATCCCGCTGATGAAGCATGCACGGTAAAATGCATACGGGCTTTATATGATAATAAACCAGTCACCTATCACCTAGCATTTCCCCCTTTTGCCTACTGCTACAGTGGATGTACTACTACTACTACTACTACTACTACTACTACTACTACTACTACTACTAGCAGTTCGAAAGCAAGAAATTGCAAGTAGATAAATAGGTACCACTTCAGTGGGAAGGTAACAGCGTTCCGTGCGCCTTGGTGTTTAGTCATGCCGGCCACATGACCACAGAAATGTCTTCAGACAGCGCTGGCTCTTTGGTTTTGAAATGGAGATGAGCACCGCAACCCTAGAGTCGGATTTGACTGGCTTTCGAGCAAGGGAACCTTTACCTTTACAGTGGATGAACATTAGGAGTTGTTATGGTGCAGTGGGGGGGTGCATTTGTGCTGGGAACAGTCACCATTAGCTTGAAAGGTGGTATCCAGCTAAGGTACACAGAACTCTAGCACAGAGAGGAGGTTTGGACCCAGGATACAGAATCCTAAATGTGTTTTTGCTGCTGGAGAAATGCTTATGTGTGTAGACACAAACCTAAGCATCTTGAAATCTACGTTGGATTGTGGAAGTGTTGGTTCTCAGCAGGAGCTGGAAAGAGCCCTAATTGAGCCAATCAAGAGACAGGAAGGGGACTATTGGAAAATAGTAGAATTTCCTAACTTCACTATGCTAACTAGTTGTCCCCTCTGCTGCCCCTGCAGGATGTTCTTGCCATATTTATCTATGAATGATAGACCTTGCATATTCCAAGAATTACATTATTGTTGAGTGAGTGACTCAGCATGCCAGGGCACTGGGGGGGTGGGGTGCTACCTCACTCTAAGAGTGTATAGGTGTTATCTCTTTGACTGGGATGCCTGTCTTTGTCTTAAGGTGAGAGCTGCCCTCTGACCTCTCCTCTCTCATTTTGTTCTTGCACTCACTTTACATGGCCTTCCATAGAGACACATGTCTCCACTGGTCTCTCCTGTAGAGACAATGTCCTCATACTCCCATACACATGATGCTGGACAAGCTGACCATTTGTGATAGGGAAAGTACTAGGGTTGCCAGGTCTGGGTTGGAAAATACCTGGAGACTTTGGGGGTGGATCCAGGAGAGGGTGGGGTAGGGTAGGGTTGCCAAGTTTAATTGACTTACCAGCGGGGGAGCGTCACCGGGCTCCGGGAGCTCTCCTCCGACGCACGCGTCCCAGAAGTGACGCGCTACATCGATCACGTTGGGGGCGTGGCCCCAATTGTCGGAGGGAAAACCATAGAGTTTTCCCTCCGACAATCGGGGCCACACCCCCAACGTGATCGACGTGGTCGCGTCACCTCTGGTGACGCAGCCAAGCCGCGC